AGAAGAGGAGAGCAGAGTTGCAGGGGAAGCGGAGGTTGGATGACCAGTTTTGCAGACCTACTGCACCGTCTGCTGCCAGGACACAACAGCTGAGCAGGCTGCAAGCTTGCCATGGTATGGCGAGACAAGAGCAGCCGAGCAGAGTTGCAGCGGAAGCGGCCAATGATGACGGTCATATAGAGGACCTGCGAGACCACCAGGAGAGCAGAGTGGCATTGGAAGTGGTGGTCAGAAGGCCAGTTTTTCTGACCTATTGCACCGTCTGCTGCCAGAGCAGGAGAGCAGAGTGGCAGCGGAAGCGGTGGTTCGATGACGACGGTTAGCAGTCCTACTGCATCTTCTTCTGAAAGCAGTATGGCGCCCGCATGGAAAAAAGGCGCAAAACGATTGTCTGCCATTGCTTTCACGGAGGGAGGGGTGACTGACGACATGTATCCAAAACCACCCATGACAATGTTTTTGCCCCATCAGGCATTGGGAGCTCAACCCAGAATTCCAATGGGCGGCAGAGACTGTGGGAACTGTGGGATAGCTACCCACAGTGCAATGCTCCAAAACGCGACACCTAGCCTCCGTACTTTGGACACACTCCACCGACTTAATGCACTTAGTGGGGACACACACAATCAACTGTATAAAATCGCTTTCTAAAAAATCGACTTCTATAAATTCGACCTAATTTCGTAGAGTAGACATAAATTTATGAGTCTCTAATAAGGGTATTTGGGCATAAGTTTTCATGGGGTAAAACCCACTTCATCAGCTGCATGGAGTAGAAAATACAGTAGCGAGGTATAAATACACAACATATCAAAAGATGGGAGTTGCCTTACCAAATCGGGGGTCAGTGCTAACGAGCCAATTGAATTAAGGTGGAAGTGGGCTATTATCAACAGTTGACAAGAAGGGAGGGAAAAAAGTCACTTTTGTAGTGCTAATGAGTTCAGTGTAATCAAGGTGGCCCACTTCAAACAGTTGACAAGAAGGTGTGAGTATCAGTAGTGGGAAATTTAGTTTTTGTAGTGACCCATCCACTCCCAGTCTTCCTTCAGGCCTAATTTGATGGTGTCCAGTTTGCAAATTAATTCCAGTTCTGCAGTTTCTCATTGGAGCCTGTTTTTGAAGTTTTTTTGTTGAAGAATTGCCACTTTTAAGTTTGTTATTGAGTGTCCAGGGAGACTGAAGTGCTCTCCTACTGGTTTTTGAATGTTATAATTCTTGATGTCAGATTTGTGTCCATTTATTTTTTTGCATAAAGACTGTCCGGTTTAGCCAAAGTACATGGCCGAGGGGCATTGCTGGCACATGATGGCATACATCACATTGGTAGATGTGCAGGTGAATGAGCCCCTGATGGTGTGGCTGATGTGGTTAGGTCCTATGATGGTGTCCCTTGAATAGATATGTGGACAGATTTGGCACTGGGGTTTGTTGCACGGTTTGGTTCCTGGGTTAGTGTTTTTGTTGTGTGGTGTGTAGTTGCTGGTGAGTATTTGCTTCAGGTTGGGGGGCTGTCTATAAGTGAGGACTGGCCTGTCTCCCAAGGTCTGTGACAGTGAGGGGTTGTCTTTCAGGATAGGTCGTAGACCGCTGATGATGCGCTGGAGAGGTTTTAGCTGATGGCTAGTGGCGTTCTGTTACTTTCTTTGTTGGGCCTGTCCTGTAGTAGGTGACTTCTCGGTACCCTTCTGGCTTACCTACATGCCTCCAGCTTTCATCCAGACCACATCACACGATTCATTGTCTATAGCCAAACTCTATGATACAACCACATTTGCTCCAATCCAATCCAATCCCTTAGACAGAGCCCTTAAACACCTACAGGATCTCTATCAAACATTCTTAAAACTACAATACCCACCTGGTGAAGTGAAGAAACAGATTGACAGAGCCAGAAGGGTACCCAGAAGTCACCTACTACAGGACAGTCCTGCCTATAGTAGGGAGGGAAAGAAGGGTTGAGGCCTCCTCAGGTAAGGGGAAGGAGTGGGATGGGAGGGATTTGATATGGTGAGGGGTGGTGTAAAAGTTGTGGGTTTCGGAGCAGGGAGTCCTGTCATCCCCAAATTCTCCCCCTCCCCATGCTGGGATCTGGGGGAGCCCTACCCCTCTGCAGGGCTCTGAACTCCTTTTTTTGCCCCTGTATGCCCTGGGATCTGGGAGACCCTGTCGCTCTTGGGGTGTCTAAGCCCCTCATGTAATCTGTGATCAAGGGGAAGTGGGGTGGGGGGTTGAATGTGATGAAAATGTAAACACCTGAAATGCAGGAAATCAATAGTTAAAATACACATCACCCCTGGGTGGGGTTGCCACAGTGTGTGGGGGAGGGGGAGTTGTATTGGGTGGGCCTGCAACATGGCTGGGTAAGTCTGGCTGGACCAGGACCGGGGGGCTCAGCTCGGCATGGTAGTTGGGGTGAGGAGCCCAGCTCAGTGTGCTGCTCACGTAACCGAGGTAGTGTGTGGCCCACCAGTAAGCTGCTACCTGTGATATGTGCTCCCAGAAATGTAGGGCAGAGGGGAGCTAAATGTTGTGGGGGATGGTGGAGAAGGAAACAGACACACCAGTTTCCTCTCACACGCTTAAATTAGCCGCTGTATAATAAAACTGTCAAGGTGTTGGGGCAGGGACCTGGGATGAGATTTCTCTCACCAGCCCTGTTACAAGCTACACACTGAAAACATTGCACAGCACGACCATTATCCCCACTGCACTATCAGAGTGCACAGCGGGAGGGGCACTGAACAACCACGGGGCAACCCGCCCCAGCGCCAGGCTGAGCAGCTGGCCTCCCCGCCCCTAAAGGCCGCCCTCTCCTCCCCCCCGCCCCCCCCAGCCAAGCTGGGATGGCTCCAACACTGGGCTGAGCCACTGGCCCCTGAGCCCCAGTGCTGGGCTGAGGCGCTGGACCCCCGAGCGGTAGGCCAAGGCGCTGACCCCCACCCCAAGACCCCCAGCACCAGGCAGCGCATGACCAAGCTGCCCCACTCCCCCGCCAGATGCCCCCGGCTGGCCACCCTCTGGCTTGCCGTGTCCCTCCTCACTCCCCCTCCCAAGAGGAGGAGGGATGCAGTGAGCAGCGGGGACTTCTGGAGGGGTGGGGGTGGTGTTGTGGCAGGACCACCGCGGCGCAAGCGTCCAGCAGCGGATTGGCGGCAGGGAAGGCTCAGCCTTCCCATGCCTCTTCTACCCACCGCCCGTGACTACAACCGCCTAAATGGCCACTGACTCCTGCAACAAACGTTTCCCTTTCTGTTTAAAAAAACTAGGAAATTCAGTGACAAAACCTTCGTTAGCACAGAGTTCAGGCTGCCTGGTGATATTATCTCCTGCCCTTCCAGAGCACAGTGACAGCTCTGCCCCCCTGCTCCCACTGCTCTCTCCACTGGTCAGGACAGCTACACTGAACACCGGGAATGCAGCTGCAGTGCAGGCAGACACATGCTGCAATTCAAATCTGTGGAACACAACACAAACAATGGCACCTTCCTGTAACCCTTCCTCATGTCTATTCACTGACAGAAAACTTAGGGTAGGTCTACACTACCGCAGTAAGTCGACCTAAGGTACGCAACTCCAGCTACATGAATAATGTAGCGGGAGTTCATGTACCTTAGGTCGAGTTACGGCAGTGTCTATACCGCGCAGGGTTGATGGGAGACAGTCTCCCGTTGACCTACCTTACTCTTCTCATCGGGGGTAGAGTACATGGGTTGACTGGAGAGCAATCCGCGGTCGATTTGGCGCGTCTTCCCTAGACCCGCTAAATCGACTGCCGGTGCATTGATCAACACTCCGTCGACCCCGGCTGTCGTGTAGATGTAGCTTTAGTTACCTCCAGGCAACCTTAACTCTGTATTATCTCATGCACTTCCAGAACGCTGAGTTCAGCAATACTCAGGCCTCTAAAACTAGGAAATCCATCAGGAAGGTAAATACCCAAACAACCTTAACTCTGCCCCTTTGGAGCTGGCAATAACCACTGGGAATTGGTTGCATGCACTGAAGTTGCATCCACTGTGCTTGGTGTAGCTGTAATGGCTAGAGGAGGGATTATTTGGAGCATATTGGCAGAGCTGTCACAGTGACATCAGGAGTGGTGCAGGTGTACCTTGAGGGATCAATCATGCCTCATTTCAGCGCGGAGTGGTGCAGGTTGTGTCAGTTGTAGGGCACAGGCTCCTTGCCATGGGGATTGTCAGCAGCCTGGTGTCAGATATGCCAGTGATCACCAGGGCTTGGTGAGGGGTAAGTGAAGGCAACGTCCCAGAAGAAATCCACACCCACAGGGCAAGGGTGACAAGGCGATAACATTTTGCAAGTTGGGGGTGGTTTGTGTGGAGCAGGCTCAGTGTTTGAGTGTAGACCCAGATGTTCACTGCACCTGGCCTAAACCTCATGTCCTCATTACAGAACTAGCTGCACCTCTGCCCCCTTGCTGGTCTCTCTGACAGCACCTTCAGGGGTCAGGCCTCCTGCCTCTGCCTGTCCTGGGGGGGTGAATTCCTCAATTCTCCCACTCTTAGACCAGGCTCTGGGCTACAGGGCCCTGTGTATCAACCACCGTTACCCTGAAGGGGTCAGACACGAGCCGAGATCAATCCCAGCTGGTGGCATCAGTTTGGGGAGGATCAGAGTCATTGTTCAGCCCCAGGCGTGCACAAAATAACTGTAATAACCACAACACGTTAATGTCACCTGACTGTTCAGGGGTGTCAGTGCGTCTCGTTAACCCCTCGCTCTAATGCCCTCAAATTTGGGCCACTAACCCCACCCCAGACTCCAGTGAGTCACAGCAATTTTCAAGACAATCTGAGAATGCGTCCGGGTTTTAGAGAACTTAGAAAAACGGATATTAAACAGCAAACTAGAATCGACCTTATCCAGAGCAGAGCTGCCGACCCACAACAATGAGAAAAATTGTGTCATCTCACAGTGAACCCTCTGACTCCACTTATTACCCTGCTGAAGACATTAAAACATCAGAACAAGTCACTGACCTGCCACCTGCAGTTCCAATATAGCATCTTCATAAAAGACACCGGACTGAAAAAAACACTTGTACTGGCCATCGTCGGAGGGTCGGATATTGCGTATTCTCAAGGAAACTCTCCCATTGGTGATGTCATCTTTCAAGAGCTCAGTTCTTCCTCGATATTCCTGCATCTGCTCTCCATACTGATCCTGCCCATCACGGTACAGGTGCACCGCTGGAGAGAACTGGGATCGGAACCATCTCAGC